CTCCTATACTACGAAGGAAATATATTCAATTGGTTATCCTTGTTAGTAGAGTCTATGACCAAATCAAGACACTTAAACCAAAATAACTAAAAAACATAAGGAATCAAACAAATTAGTCAAATAAACAGAACCACAATTGAGCATATGCGATTGGGTTTAGGGATGACAACAAAACTCGAACCCACGGGTACCCACCCGACCCAATTCGGTCAACGCGGGTAAAATTCGTGTTGACAGGTTTTGAGCCGGGTTCGGGTTTAAACCCGCTACACTATTCACCGGGTCGGGTTGGCTTTGGGTTTAGGTAAACCCGCCCCATGGGTACCCGCCCACACACATATAATTACTTTCCCGGTATATTTAATATTCTAAATAATATATATTCCTTAAACAACTAATATTCTTTATGTTTTAATACGACCCTGGGGGTGTATTTTTACCAAAGTACGCAGCAACACAATCAATCCAAGGATTGGATTGATTAAAACGAAATTTGAACCAAAAACAAGGATGTTCTTGCTCGAACGAATTGGGGAGTTTCTATTAAAGGATCCACAGACCAATTCAAAGACTCCACATGCTTCAACAGGCTCCCAATTGAAGTTTTGATCCCTTATCCAGCATCGATTCATCACCAGGGTCTTCAATTCGATGAACTTCACTCTCCCGCCGTCGACCCCTTTCAAATTTTCCATACCCAGAAATTTTAATTCAGAATTGGGGGTTTTCATTCCAGGTATCTCTGTGCCAATTCGATCATTCCAAAAGCTTACTGGGTCATCCTGAAGTGGTTCCTCATCGGTAGTTAGCGTCGAATTGCGCCCAAGCGCGCCACCCCATTCAGCGAATTTGCTGCCTAGTTCCTGCGTTTTCAGAGGCAGATGATCTCGATTTGGTTCTTGCGATCGGGGCATGTTTGAGTCGATTCCGCCTTCAGAGAAGATTCTTGGGTTCTCTTGGAAGGCTTCGGGGGCATTGGCGAAGCTCGACAGTACTCCAGCTGCTCCGACCAATTCAGTCGTTTCCTTGCCGTGGCCGAGCTCTGGCAGAGCAAGTTTATCCCGAATGGGATCGTTCGATTGGGAAACATTCGAAGGATTCCAGTCCAGGGAAAAGCTTCCTGATCCTCCGTCGAAGGTTTCGAGACCACTGGCCATGTTCGAATGGCTTTCCACTTCTCCACCCAAATCTACCTCTCTCTTGCCCTGTTCTCTCGTGGAAAAACAGAGACTCTTTGCTGCAGAACACAGACTCTGTTTTATCAAGGGGAAACAGAGACGCCCAGCGCTAGTGGCCTTCTCTTCGGCAACGAGATCGGGCTCGGGCTTAACTTCTCCAGCTCTGTTGGCTCCAGCGAGCTCGTTTTCAGAGAGGTCCGACTCCTCATCATTGTTCCTGTCGATGAATTCAAAGGCTGAATTTCGGGTAAGCACCTGCCGAGAGACGTCAGTACAGTCCTGCGAGCAATTTCCTTCTTGCACTCTAGATTCTATTTCTGGGTTTGTTGGGATTGTAGTTGACTTATTTGATAACAAGCTCACCCGATACTCTTCCTGTAAGAGTTGAACAGCCTTCAAATCACTTGCTGCTTCTTCTGGCGGCAAAGGTTTCAAGATGAACGCTTTGCCTTGATGCTTCAATCGAAATTGGTTGCTTCTTCTGCTAACTAGCCGAACTTGTCGATCACGAAACCAAGGCTGTCCCAAAATAATACCACTGGGAAGATTGTATACCACATCACACATTATCCGATCTTCGTATTTGCCAATCGAAATCTCCACAACCACTTGAGACATCACAATGTTTGGATATTTCTCGTATGGCAATTGCAAACTGTAGGGAGCTGGATGGAATTGAGATTGCAGCCCTAGCTTGCTCACGACTCTAGAGGAAATCAAATTCCTCTCCCTGCCTCCATCAACGAGAACCAAACACACTTTCTCATGGATTAAACAGCCGGTGAAGAACATGGATTCAGCTAACTCTGCCGCCATGGTGCTCTGCATCTCCTCTGTTTTTGTGATTGAATTTTCGCACGAAAACACTGCCCTTTAATCCTTCCTTGCCCTGACTTGAACGGGGCTCTGATACCACTTAATACGACCCTGGGGGTGTATTTTTACCAAAGTACGCAGCAACACAATCAATCCAAGGATTGGATTGATTAAAACGAAATTTGAACCAAAAACAAGGATGTTCTTGGGTGTTTGGATAAAACGGAATCAAACGTGCAATCTTTCACGTGGAAGAAGGCTCGAATGATATAAAGGTAGATGCCCGGCCACGATCAACGCGTTCTTGATCGATACAAGAGCTCAACGAGTTTGGAATCCACCAAAGCTCAACACAAGTACGCAAACTTGCAAAAACCCAAAGGTTCAATTTCAATTCATCAAAGTCTTCTGTTTTTACAACGTAAATGGAAGGCTATTTATAGCCAATAAAACCTAATACAAATCTAGATGAACAAGGAAATAATTAAGGTAAAAACAAACTCTAAAAAGGACTCAAAATTCGGCCATAAACTTCCTTTCTTGGCGCACAAGTAATCTGCCCGCAAAACAGTCAAAAAGAAGCTTTCGTACTAACTTCGCGCCTTTTGTTCGAGGCCTTCCCGAACTCCAATTCTTCATCCAATTCCTTCCCTTTGTTCACAAACATACCTAGTTTCATGTTGTGGAAGCCTTTTGACTTGAATCCCATCCATGCTCCTTGAATTGAGCTCCAAAGTAGGCTTCACAAAACAGTTTCCAGACTTAACCATTTTCTGGCAGTTTTCCAGTTTTGAGGTAGCAACTTTGAGGCCTTGGAAAACAACCTTAATGACATCATATGGCTCCACAAAGCATATCATTGGAAACATGGAAACTTTATCTACAAAACAAACACTTAACCTTGAATTTCCACCAAGCCAATTGAAAGAACCATGCCTCCAAAGTATGTATCCTGAACATGGATTTTGACTTAGCCAAATTCTGCCTTTCTTCTTCCCAACTTCGATAGCTTCTTTGTCAAGTAATTGTGACGTGAATGGTGCGCCATTTGGGATCATATCATGTTTTGTGGAGACATGTTTAATTTGTTATTTCTAATTGTTTAGAATGAAGTTGATATTATGAAGTGGAGAGTGAAGAAACTTAGTTGACGAGGAAGAAGCTTTTAATTAATCTTATTGTTTATAGATGTTTTTATCTTTAATTTTGAACAATTTGTATTGATCATTTGCGGGTTGCTTGTATGCTCTAGATTGGTGTTTTTTGTATGATTAATTTGTATGAGAAAATTGATGTTAAACTTTTATTTGAAAGAAACTTGTTATTGTAAAAATTTTACCACAAAAACCCACGGGTACCCATGAACCCGCGGATACCCAGCGGGTTGGGTTGGATTTGAGTTTTTCAAACCCAACGGGTTTTACCCCGGATTTTTTTGGCGGATAAACTCATGGGTTTGGGTTTGACAAAACCCGCCCCAACCCGACCCATTGTCATCCCTAATTCGGTTCAAGTGCTTGGAGAGCATATCTACCGAAACAAATACGATTGCCTCAATAAGACATTCATTTCATTCTTCCTATATGTTGTTTACGGAATTTGGAGTTGTTGTACCATTGTGGTACACGACAAACCACTTGTGTATAAGTACGTCATTAACTGTGTTACTTTTCTTTTAATACACAAAAGTGGATATCATTTTATAGATTCTGTTAAATTTGACTTTTTTGTTCTAAAAACATTCCAGTTGAAATGAAAAAGATATGATGTTACTAAAATTTGCGGGAGAGAAAAAATAAAGGAGAGAGTGTGACATTTGGAGGGTCTAGATGGCCGTAAAATTTATTTGTTTCCACATTTAAGTTTTAATTTTAATTAGAAAAATCTAATTAGTACTTCGTACAATCATTCTGACAAGAAATTTCAAATGGTGAAAAAAGAGATTCTTAAAACTCCATCACATATTTGGTTGATTACACAAACCTCCTTCAAACATTTAACGTCCTCCGCTGCATTCATCCAATACGCCAATGATAACCTCCAGCAGACACTAAATCCGCCCTGGAAGTCCTGCTGCCAACGTTAATCGGTTAATCCCCAATATACCACTCTGCTTTTAGCTTATATTGTGTGAGTTGGTGGAGTATGGCGGCAGCTATTAATGGCGGCCACAGTAACCAATTACTTTCTGTCGTGGTTGTACGGAATGTTTTTCTTTGAATAAAATATTTGTAACGATCCAAAAATTATAAATAGATAATTTTAATTTTAATCTTTCAAATACAAAATGCAATAAATCCATCATAAATCCAAAGGTTTTCAAAACTCAAATCCTTCATTTTCAAATCCAACAAGCAAACGAGCTATTTTATGTTTCCTTCGTAATATGAAAACTAGTCATGATTGTTTATGAAAATACCGATTGTAGTAGTCGTTATTTTTTATATATGTAAATAAATTATTTGGATATTATTAATTATATTTATTAAATATTTATAATACGAAAAGATGACAGGGATAGTTTCAAATGCTACCTCCGCCACTGTCTCCGGTCGCAGACCCAAAAAGCCATCACCTACTAAGTTATGGCCTCATCATTCACAATACATACTAGTTTAACGAGAGTCATCGAGGCTTGCGTAACCGCATCGAACACCCGCCCCTAGTGTGAATCTGGCTTTTTTATGGGGTGTGGGACTGCATTCTGAGATTCACATGTAGGCAGGTGAGCACTGGGGTTATGTTATGTTTGGCTTTTCCTTTTCTTTGCTTATTTGTGGCTTCAATATATGTATATATAGTGTTGCTAGAGGAGAAGGCGATGGCAGGGCAGATGCGGAGGGAAAGGGTGGTCTCTGCTGGCGGAGAAAATTGGCGTCGGAGGCCGGCGGCGGTCCTCGCTGGCTGTGAAATGATTTACATGTTTGGTTCGTGACTTTTATTTTGTTTGTTTTGGAGAGTTTTGGTAGTAAAGTTAGAGCGATATTTAACCATTCAGTATCCAAATTCACGCCAAAGCAACAATTGGGCTCTTTTATAACAGTGTGTGTGTCCACCCATTGTCGTGACTAGTTCAATAAGTCTGTGAGAAATGGTTTCCAACTCTCCACAAGTGAATGTTATGATTTATGAACATCAAGAAAGGTGCCTGAAGCAATAAAGGAGAAGTTGACATTGACAAAGCCGAAAATGCACCAAGGCAAAGCTCTGTAGTCCATAGCAGTATGTACAGTTGCACCAAATAGAAGCTTAAACGAAAAAAGAAATTATTTCTTATGATACCAATCTGGCTTTTCCAGATCTAGTTGTGGCCTCTCTTGAGCGACGAGAAAAAGCCACCAGATGTTCGATCCTTTCGGCGACCTTCCTTCCCGTCTCCAACCTGTTTCCATTCCAACCGTTACGTAGTTGGTTTGTCATTATTGCAAGTTTGAACCAGAATCAAAAGGCCCTAACAGGACTATTAACCACTTACCTCTTTGGCGATTTTCTGAAGGATATCCTTGATTTCACAGAAGTTGGGCCTTTGAGTTGGGTCTTGTTTCCAGCATTTCTCAAGAAGCTCCGCCAGTCTTGGGTGAGTCTGTTTTGGAATAGTAGGTCGCAACCCCTACAACAAGCAAGGTTTATAGTAGTCAGCACCGAAGAAAGGCCGGGAAAGTTCAACGCATGCATGTAGAGAATGTACTTTTGATTGCTGTTAAATGTTACCTTTTGCACCACGCCCACAGCTGCTTGTAATGGGGTTAGGTATGAGTACGGAAGCTGGAAGTAAGATTAGTAAAACCCAGTTCAGCCAACAGAATCAGCATTATTAAGAACTCCAGTCGGAAGTTTACCTCTCCGGTTAGAAGCTCCCACAACACTATTCCGAAACTGAAAACGTCTGCCTTGTGATCATATGGCTTGTGTTCAATCACCTTCACCCAGTTAAATATATCTGTAAGTAAGGGCATGCCAAACTCAAACAGCCAACTCTGACAGCAAAAGAGTTTTATTTATCTCAAGAAAAGTACATGCCTCGGGAGCCATCCACCGGTACGTCCCAGTTTCAGCAGTCATTACTCCAGATTGAGTCTGTACTCTGGCTACTCCAAAATCAGCAACCTTAACTACCTACAGCAAGAATCGATAAAGAAACTGAATGATGAATCTAAATCAACAAATGCAAAAGAAAAGTTATGCCCCTATGCTGGCTGGTCAAGGAGACAATTTGAGAGACAATATACTGGAGATATGGCCTTACTTCATTTTCATCCATCAGTAGATTGGCCGTCTTCAAATCCCGGTGGATTATGCTATTCTGGTGGAGATAATTCATTCCCTTTGACACATCTATTGCAACTTTGATTAAGGATGGAAGTTTGAAGACACCATTCTGCTTATGCAGAAAATCATAGATACTACCTCTTGCCATGAATTCTGACAAGTGAAAACACAAGGACCAAACCCATTTATCAGTGAACATAAAATTTCAGCCCAAGAAATGAATTCCTCGAAAACCAGTTGCGGTTACTAAGAACAGAATGGCTGACTTTGTATGAAGGTAGTGACAAAAATTTTATATTTCGCATTGCTTAAAGTCCATGAATATTACTAGTACAAATGAGTAAATATAGAGATCAACAAGGCTACCTGTGACTATACACAAGTTTGGAGGCTGAGTGCATGCTCCTATGAACTGTACAACGTTCTTATGTCGAACTTTCCTGCAAATTAATTGACGTCACTGAAATGTTATGTAAAGAGATCTGAGCAAAGACCCACTACACAGGAAGAGGAAATAGGAGCATTCATTAAGAGAAGCATTATTTATGATGTGGCATGTTGAGAGAAGACAGTGCTCACTAGTTACATTACTTACATCCAATCTAAGACCCCATTTAGAGGGCCACAAAAAGTGAATGCATGCATTTCTCTTTATTTTTTATTTCCTTCATTAAAACCCAGGCAGAGTATTGAATTTATCAGCTATAGATATCGGTGGAGAACATTAGCCCCACCAAAAAAAAAAAGTCATGCAAACTTAGCCATTCACCAACCTCATTATATAAACTTCTTGAGAAAACTCTCTAAGCATTTCGGCACTGACACGCTCTGGCTTTAGGACTTTGACAGCCACTTCCTGACTGCAATACGTGCCTTTGTATCTGAAGAATTTTGAAACCAATTATTTGATAGGCCACTTGAAAAGCATCTACGTGTCACTTCACACGATGAAACTTACAGATCGCCATAAGATCCAGATGCGACTTTGTTTTCAACTTTTAGTTGACTGGCATCAATTTCCCAGACGTCAGTGCCATCACTTGGTATTTCTATGCAACCAGGAAGTGGTACAATCCTCGTGTTATTAACAATGCTGATGGTGGGAATAGAAGGCTGTTTTGAGCACTGCTGTTCCTGCGTGGAAATTTTAAAAATAAAAATCAGAAACATGCCAGAGATAGCTTGAGGCGATGCACCACGTGGCAATTGAACACCTGCTACTCTAATATGGTTATTAGAGCAACAAATATACAATCTATGACAGGAATAGTTCAAAGTCATAACTGATATCAGAAACTGGATTAACTCCTCTAATCAATTAGGATAAGGTAAACTGTCCTGTCGAAAACTCCACATCAGGATGAACACAAAATTTACATAGTATAAATAAATTACTCCATTAATAAGGTTTAGGAGTTATTGTCAATCTAAGGGTATCCCAGGCAAGAAAATATAGGAGACGAGAAAGGTGACTGTAAAATGTCCATGAGGTTGCATGTTTCTCATTTCCAGCTCAAGGTTCAAGAAAAGAAACTAATAGCCGTAGAAAAGGAAAGGTGAAGGTTCCTTTGGATAGTGAAGTGACTGGAGTCCCTAAGAAGAAACCCAGCATGTATCTGAATTCGGCTATTCAAAAGTTTTGGAAATTATGAAGCTTAGTGAGGACCCTCATGTGAACCAGTGTCATGATCATGAAATGCCTATGAAGCAGTACGTACATCAATATTGAATAGGCTGTGACCTCTACCACACAACAACAATAGTATTAAAACTAGATTTATCGCTTGGTTCCCCTTGTACTTCTTATTAACTCTCACTCTTTTGAAAAGATTTTCACATCTGTAACAAGTTCACATCGTTGCCAAGAAAGGACCGAGAAATAATTATATTGATGCATATCAAAGGGATCGGATGAATAAAGGATTTGTTGAACCCAAAAGAACCTTTCGACAATGCAGGGAGAAGCAGGTTGAGTAACTGTTCCATGATCCATAGAAAACCCAGTAATGTACCACTGTAGTGAGTGAGATATGCATGTAGAAAAAGACTGGCAGTCTGTCTGTCTTTATTTAATTTTCTTTTAGTGAAATATGATAGCTATATGTCAACAATTGATGCTTTCAGTATTAGTCACGATGAAGTGAAAATCATCGTGCTCCAAGATCAAACTGGCTAAAGATATTAAAAATTTGCTTCAGAACATAACAAAATATAAGCGCAATTTACCTTGGTCTTCAGAATTTCCTTCTCCAGGGCACTTCTAAGCTCCTCGGTCTCCTGAAGTTAACAAGAAAAAGAAAGGACTGTAGCTGTGGTATAATTTGTAGGTGCTTGTCAGGCAAAACTGACAGCAACTAGCAAGCAAATGACGTACCTCATGAGGCCAACCATCCACGACAAAGACATCAAGGGAAAACCCATCAACAGTAGAAAAGGCATGGGCCTCTTGGATATTTAACCCAACTTCAGCAAGCAGGAAGGTCAACTGGAACATTATAAATCAGTATATATTACTAGCCCCAACATTATGGGGGAAAATGAGAGTGTGGACTGAGAAATATAAAGGAGAAGGAGAGGGAAACCTGACTAAGGAGTTTAGGCCTGTCTACAGTCGAAAAGGTGATCTCATGCATGGGCCTGTAGGATTGCAATGAGTTGTGAAGGTATGATGAAACTCAAAAAGAAACATGACACTAACAACACAATAACAATGCCAGATCTTCTAGCCGATTCATTGTATTACCACTATGAACATACAACATTCTCAAATTTGAAGTTGATGAAGTGCAACTTGCTGACAGCAATAAATGAAGGCAGGAGCCTAAGTACTTGAAAGTCCATACCTGACATGGTTTGATGTTGAATTTACAGCGCTATCACCATCGTCAACATGATATCTGTGCGTGAGCGCTTCAAGATTTGATGACGAACCAAATGTTGGAGGAGCATGGGTGCTGTCCAGAGGGAAAAAAGTAAAGGGAAAAAAGAAAGCCAACCAATCAGATGAGTGCCAAAGTTGAAAGTTCTACAACTAGCAGGGATAATCAAAAGTGGAACACAGTAAGTACACTAGCAACAAAAAGGAGTGAACATACGCTTGTCTGCTTGATAAATAAGAACTTTGAGCATCTTCTCTCAGTGAAGAATCTAAATGAATGGAATCAAGAGCTTTTCCATTTGCGACAGGGAACACCTAAAGAACCAAGAAGAAACAAGCTATATCTATCAATAACCAATGGCGCAAACAACCCAAATCCGGTGAGCCCGAGCACCTCCAAGCACTAAGTGCTACAGGATATCTGATATACTAGCCAAGTGAAAAGAAGAAGATAAAAGATGGACCGGAAGTGCTCACCTGCACCAAACGAACTTCAAATGCAGGTCGATTAGCAGGATCTTCTGCCAATTGTAGCAGTCTCTTGTGAGTAAGCACGTCCTCCGCCCTCTCGACGTTAACGTCTAGAGCATATCTGTCGTAACATAGATAAACAAACGATAAAATAACATAGAAGATTTTGAACCCGGATCAAGTATCAATTGCAGCTGATTCAGCCATGGATTTCAAAATCTAAGGGTGAATATCCAGTGGCAAGGGCAACAAAATATGACTTTCTAAATTGAAATTCGCGGCTCCCCATTGTTGGACAGCACAATCCGATCCCCCAGGTTCACATCACTCGCATAGATGAGGAAACGAAGACTAGTGAAGGCAGCATGCAAGAGAAATGGAGAAGCAACAAACAGCGCGAAAAGGGAAAACTAGGAATCTCGTAAAGTAGCAAATAATAATCCAGGAGATTCAAGTAGAGCACAACTCGGTACAGCGTTTTCTAATTCCAAGCAATCAAACAGGATTGTGGAGGGAGAGAGAGAAGGGAGCGAAGCGAGATTACCGTGCAGGCAAGCGATTGAAATGAAGCCAGAGCTGATCGTCAAAGCCAGGAAGATTGGCGTCTTCGTGAGCGGAATCCTGAATTCTGCGGAGAACCTCGTTGTAGACCTCCAGCTTCTGCCTGTGATGGCGAGGATTGATGTGCGAGAAAGAGTCGGCCGCTCGGCTGCCGCAGCTCTCCACGTCCTCCTCAATTGCCATATTGTTGTTGTTGCTATATTATAAAATAATAACAATAACAGTAAACCGCCGCCGCCGCTGCTTATCTCCGACGAACCAGAGATTCAGAGGAAGAGAAAAAAGAGGTTCACGGCCGGCCGAGCACTGGTTGAGTAGAAGGGCAGGGATGGATTATGTAGAGTACGAATCAGAATGAAAATTCAATTCAGGATTGAAAGTGGGAACCAGGGAAAAGTGGAGGAAAGTTGGAGCGGACAAAAGCTCCAATTAGCCGAGCGCTAAAAAAGCCATTGCGAGAGAGAGAGATGAAGAGAATCGTGGCGATGCTTTTGGGAGTGTTTGTTGTACTTTGGAGTATTTGCTTTTCTCCCTTTTTTTTGTTTTATATATTTAATTTTCTATCTTTATTTTTGGTGTCTACTGTTTACGGGGGAAGTGGCGCTTGCTCTCTGAAGCATAGCGGGGAGGCCAGGCGAGAGCGACGGAGAAGCATTTGGGCGGATCGTCGTTGCTGGCGCGGCTTTGTTGCTGCTGTTAATATAGTGATTTTATTTTATTTTTGAACTGCAAGAGGAAACGGATTATTATTCGTTTGTTCGTGCTGGAGTTTGGATGGCCACCCTACGTCATGAGGTGGGGTCCATGATGAGGCCACCACTAGGTAACTCGTGACCATCAGCTATCTATATATGGTATATACCAACGATTAAAATATCGTAATGTACGGGCTATTCTACTAGAAAAAATTTATATTGTTGGTAAATCAGTAGGTGGTATTTAACGGTATGAAACGGTCGAACAATAATTTTGTCCTAAAATACTTTACCGTTGACTTTTCTGGTACAACTTTCGATACGGTATTTTAATCCTTGATATATACTAGCACTAGGCCTGACCTATTGGTCGAGAGAGGTTAGACCGGGAATATGTTATAGAATAATGGATATAATAGATGCTTAAATGGATGCAACATTTATCTATGCATAATATGTTTAAAATATGATAAGAAGAAGAGGAATATGATCTAAAAAATAAATATAATTAATTATTTAATGTAATTGAACATATATGGTGCCTTCTATGGCACCCGGGGTACCACATACCTTAAGTACGAAAACATATAACTAGTTGTCTTTCAAGTAAATCATATATATTTGAATATTATAGGTGCTTCCAATAATACATAGTTAATCAACTTAATGTGTTCTCTTCTTCGTTTTGTGCTTCTTTCTACCACCTAGAGTCACTAGGATGGAAAGTATTATGGGCCAAGGGATATCATTTACTACTATGTGTAAATCATACAAATAAGAAGAAAAATACTATATGATCCATCATTTTCTTGCAGTATTATTATATTGGGTTAATACCTTAATCTGATCGAACTTTCCACAAATATACTATTTTGGCTTGTATTTTTCGAAACTCTCATTCTGGCTTAAACTATGCCTCATCTATATTATTTTGATTGGTCGTGTTGGTTGACCGTCAATCTTAAGTCAGTGTCATGTCAAACAAAATACAAAATTATAATTTAAATCAATCAACCTTTTTCTAATTTCATTTCTTCACTTATTAAACCGTAAAATGGAAAAGAATGGATAGGTCCTACTCCCCTGAATCAACCAAACACAAACCCTAACTCCAGTTCCCAACCCCATCTTCCCCCAGTGATTATCCTTTCTCACCATCTCTAACGGGCATGCATTAGCGGGCGGTCGTTTAAAACCGTCGTCGACATCTGAATTAAATTCGGTCGTCGTCGACCATATCCTCTCCGGCCACTTCCTTCCTTCTCTCTCGATTAGTAGGGGTAATCAACCGTGACCAGTTTTAATTTCTCTTCTTCCCCACGGCAAACAGAGGTAAGGAAGGCAAGATGACAACGTCTCAATCACCACCCAGAGGGTGATGGTGGAGGCGAAGATGCTGAAGACCTCTATCAAAGTTATCTTCTTCTCGGGAGCTTCAATGGTTACCATCACGTTATCTTCTTCTCGTCATAAGCAAGGACCCCTTTTGGAGTCTGACCCAACTATGACAAGTAGTATAATTTCAATCAAAATGCAATGCCTTCTCTAGGCTAGGACGAGGACAAATTATTCTAGCTAGTGACAAAAAGATTAGTAGTGGGAGGAGATCTAGAGACGGAAACAGAGATTGGGGAAGGTCTGGGGAGGGAGGGAGAAAGTGAGGAGCAAGAGGGATGTATTTTTTTTATTTTTTATTTTTTTTGTTTTTATTTATCTTCAATTGTAGATGTTAATAAGAAATATGAAAAGATTTATTGAATTTGGATTAAATTATTTTTTTATGGTGATATGGCGCGTTGATAGTTAGTCAACGATGTTGACTATCCAACTCGATGGTCAACACAACCCGTCCTGCCAAAATAGTATAGATGGTACATAATTTAGGCCATGGTAGGATTTTCAAAAAATACAAACCAAAGTATTATTTTTGTGAAAAGTTGTGAAAAGTTCAGGCCAGATTAAGGTATTCACCCTATAATATTCTAGCAACACATATCCATAAAATTTCATTTTTCTTACACAAATCATCAAAATTCATTCACTTATCCTTTATATACGGAATATAGTGTAATTTTCACATTAATTTGATTGCTTTACTTCATATTTGAAGCCACCTGTCATCGTGGATTAACAAAAGCCAACAAATCAAAAACGAAAAAAAAAAAAGAATTATCAAAGAAGAAAGATAATAAAGGTAGCCAAGTGGAATCCTTACTCTTCAACGTGTACATCATGCACATATTTATAGATTTATTGCACGCCTCGTTATAGTATTTCTCAAAGGGTTAATACCCTAGTTTGACCCGAAGTTTAGCGTAAGTGACAGTTCTGACCACATTTTTCAAATAAGAAATTTATGGCATACTTTTGAAATTATTGGACAAATTTGGCCCAAAACTTATGTTGACCGTCAAAATTGATGGTCAACTATTATCTCTGTCAATGACTCAACATACGAGGATGACTGGACTCGTACACGTCATTAATTTTTTTTATGGTTAAATCAAAATTGCATTAAGAACCGGCAACCTTTAGCAAAACACTAAGCCGCCTCTCAGCACAAACAAGTCTGTATGATGGAAACTTCCGGCACAAGGAAGAAACATAAAGAAGAAACTACCCCAGCCCCCTAGACTCCAAACAACATAACAGAGTCAGATCTAGTTGGCAACAGAAACGAAGGATCCACTTGCCCTCAAGCTCAAGTTGAAATGGACTTCTTGCACTTTTCGAGCCATACATCCTAGTGCAGCGCTCACGCCATACAAGGCTCAGAACTACACACCAAGTCATCCGATTAAGTGTAACATCAGCCGCCTTACCACTCCATCGAGACACACACCATTATAAAACAGACAGCCAGTCACCCAAGTCTGAAGGAGCTGCAGAGTCGCGAAATTGGCTTCCCCCCACGTAATCAATTTGTCCTGCAATTTTAACCTGTCATGGACAACAAGCCACAGAATAAACCCATGTCTAGGTATAATATGCTTTCCCCATACCAGGTTGAGCCATGGTACAGGACTGCCATGCTGTCTCAACGAGTTTCAGACCTTCTTAACCGAGTAAGTTTCCATCACATCGACATCCCATGTCACAACAGTTCCCATCTGTGAAATGAAAGGACGTGCCATCTCACGACATTTTAGAATGCGCTTCAAAATCCATGAGCAAGTTGCGGATACTTTAATGTCCCGAATGGAAGATTGCTTAACCCGATCACGACGAATCCAGGCAACCTAGATAGAGCCCTCCTCGGCAAGAATAGCCCAAAAGTGCCGAAGCACGCATGCTTTGTTCCAAAGAGAAAAATTACGAATTCCAAGTCCCCCTTCTACTTTTGGACGAGCAAGGAATTGCCAAGATGCAACAGCCCGCTTCCTTACTGATGCATCATCGATATCCCATAAGAACTTGTTACAAATTGACTCAACCTCTTTGATGGCAAACTGTGGAAGAAGAAAAATGCTCATCCAGAATTGCAGAGTACTAGTTAAAACCGAGGAAATCAACTAAAGTCGACCAGCACAAAACTTAAAGACTTTGTCCTCCAACTACGTACCTTGGCAATAACTTTCTTCACTAGGACTCGACATTCAGCGCGAGTGAGCTTCCCTGTAATTAAAGGAACACTGAGGTAGCGTACAGGGAGATGCCCCAAGGGGAACTTAGAAACAGTAGATATAAAACTCCGCTCCTCCTCAGATATCCCCCCCCCCCCCCCCCCCCCCCGCAGAACAACTGCACTTATCTGGGTTGCACTTTAAACCAGAGACGACGTATAAAGCATCAAAGACCCGATAAATACCAGTCATTCCTCGCATTGAACCATTTGTAAAAACCAGTAAATCGTAAGCAAAACACAAGTGTGTTATTGCTAACGGTTTACACCGAGGATGGAAGGGGACTTGGTTCTGTCTCACTGCCAGTTTAAGCATAGCATCAAGAACTTCCATTGCAACCGTAAACAAATAAGGAGACAGCAGGTCTCCTTGACGGAGACAGCAGGTCTCCTTGACGGAGACCACGTTTCATAGCAAAGAAGCCACAAATTCCACCATTCAGGCCTACACTAAACTTCGAGCAACAGATGCAGGCTTTTAACCATTTCATGAACTGATCAGGAAAACCCATCATTTCAAGGACAGAGAATAAGAATGACCAATTGACTGAGTCAAAAGCTTTCATTATGTCAATTTCACAGCACATCGAGGAGTAACATGCTTCCTATGATAGTCTTTAGCCAATTATGACGCCAAAAGAATATTATCACAAATTGAGTGACCTTTTATAAAAGCAGACTGACACGCTAAAACACAACAGCAAACTGGGACCAAGTGTAATCGCAGTCCGGAAATGCAGTAACAGGCAAGCTCTAATTGTCAACCCGGGGTCTAGATCTACTGCCTACTCCGTGTATATTTGTTATCTAGCAAACTAAGTCGATTGCTTGTTGATTTAAGTAAAAGCAGTAAGAAAGCAGGAAATGGTTCGGTTTTCTAAAGCAAAGGAAGAGTCACTCGGGAATGAGTCCCCCTAGCTCCTTAGTTAGGTCACAGTTGTAATTACTTTTGGTTGCTTTATTGTTGATTATACTGCGGAAGATCCGACAGTAGCTTGGAATCTCTTAAGCTGACCAACCCCTCTCAGTCAACCCACCTGGCAGACGACTAGTCTTCACCGGGATAGGAGTCATAGGACGCTGAGGCAATGAACACAGAACTCCACTACTAGAATTAGATTCCAGTACAAAGCAGTGAATCAACTAACTCTCGTATAATCGATTCACTACTACCGATTGAAGAAGCTCAAACAACCTAATCAGATTCTATCTATCTCAGGTTGCAGCAGAAATCAATAAAAGAT